GTGCAAAACACCAAGTCCTCAATGTAGTGCTGCTGGCAGTGTCTCTGCAAGGTGGGCAGGTGCTTACTGTCCCTCCCAAGAGACACTAGAGGAAAATAGGGTGGTTGCCCTGGGGTGAGCAGAATGTGCTGGGCAAAAAATGTCATCTCCCCTACCAGTGTGGCTGGAAAACTGGGACCAGTTTGGAGGAGGGTGAAGGGGACTGGGGGAGGTTGGATGGTGGTGATACACAGGAAGTGGGCTTGGGATGGGGACTTCAGCCTGAAAAGGGACCGCAGAGGATCTTGTCCCAAAAATCAGCATTTGTGGGGACAGAGATGGCTGTTCCCATGTTCTTGAGCTGGCACAGATGGAAGGGGACACCCAGAGAACTCTCAGAGCAATCCCACCATGCGTAACACCACCGGGGCCCCAAATAGCGTGATATATTTTGGTTTTAATCTTTATTTCATGGTTTCTGCTATTTGTTGACTTTGTGACCAACCACACGGGCGTTCCTGTCCCTTCCTGCAGGCCCTGGTGCAGTGCACGACGGGAACAACGGCGCGTGGCGGCGAAGTGGCTGCGTGTGGCTGCTGCTCCTCCCGCTTGCCCACCTCGCCCGCCAGTTTTGACCCGAGAGCCGGCCCGCGGAGCAGCGGCAGCGACGACCACGGCCAGCGAGCGCAAGCAGAAAGGAGAGGAAGAAAAGAAGAAGAAGTGTTCACCGTTTCCGAAAATAATCATAAGAATTGAGAGAGTATCCGGCCAGGCCACCTGGGGGAGGGGGAGAGAGGAAAAACATGCAAAAAAAAAAAACACTACGGGAATTTGGAATGGAGAGAAAAAGGAAAAAATTAATAATCCAAGGCTTCCTGCTGAAGATGCAATGCAACTGAGTCTTTTTCTTTTCACCCCTTTTTCTTTTTTTTGTCTCCTACAACTTTTTCCCCCTATTTTCATTGTTCTCTGCCACGGGCCAGCGTGGAGGATGGACGGGGCCATCGGAGTGTGGCACTTGTCCCCTGCCCTGTCCTCTTCACTGCCGCCACCCGCCTGCTCCCTCCCGTGGGACCCTCCATCCATCCAGACACACCGGTTTTCTCCTTTGCCAAGATTTCCCCGTCTTCTCATGGACTGTGCCGCCATTTGTGTTTCAGAATATATATACATATATATATATATCTCCATGTGTACATATATATATGTATAGATATATAGATCTTCAACAGTTACCACACCACCACGAAAGGAAAGGGAGGAAGGAGACCGGCGTCGAGCCACGCTTTCATTGTACCATCCGCGGACATCGTGAATGATAAGGGATTCTGAGTCATGGTTAATTTTATTAATTGTATTTTCTGATATGAGCCTAGAACTCTTAGTTCCTAAAAAACAGAAATGCAAAAAAAAAGAAGGGGAAAAAAAAAAAGAGGAAAAAAAACCAATCCAGGAGAGGGGGAGCAAGCGGAGAGAAGTTTGTTTGCCGAGGAGGCGACTAGCCAAGGAGGCTTGTGAGCCCAGCGAGGAGGATGAGGAGAAGTCCTGTGCTGAAACACCCCCAAAACCGGCCCAAAAGCGGTCGTCTGGACAGTTCCTGCCGAGGGCACAGACGACACTCGCCGCGCGTTGAGGTGGAGGGAGATACTGAATCTTTTTATGGGATATATATATACAGTATATATAAATATACATATATATATATATATAATTTTCTTTTTTGTTAGAGTTCTAGCCACAGTTCCCAGCAGGGTCCTTCCGCTGCCATTACTGCATGCTGTATATGGAGTTAGGTGTGTATCAGTTCTCAACGAGACAAGCATCTCGGTCCACACATCCCTGAACCCCCTCGCCTTTCCACCCTCGGGTCACCGGGGACAAAGGGTCATGGGGGACCGGGGCCCCTCTCTGTTACTTTTTGCCGCATGGCCCTGGCCTTTTCGCGGTGGAATAAAGTGAGCCGAGGGACAGAGGGAGATCTATATAGCTCAGTTTTATATTTTTAGTGTGTATATATATATATATATATAAAAAAAAAAAAACCAAACACAATGAAATAAGAAAAAGAAGACGAAGCAACCGGCCCCTGCCGAGGCGCAGGACCTGTTGCCTCGCCGTCCATCTCAGTGGGGGTTTCTCCTGCAATTGGTTTTCCTCCTTCAATTTCCTTTCCTTCCCTGCGGCCGGCGGCGGGGGGCACGCGGGGGGCCCGGGCGCGGGCAGGCAGGCGGCGAGGGGGCTCTCTCTGCCTATCCATTAAAACGATTGTTCCATGTGGCCGCTCCGTCTGGTTGTGGTGCTCATTGGCGCGGGGGCCAGGGCCACTCCGCGTTCTCCCCTTGCGCCACCAGGAATGGGGAGGGATGTGGGGAGGGATGCTGGAGGGGGGTGGCAGATGGGAGCACCAAGTCATACAATGGGCCAGGAGAGCATTGGAAAGATGACCCCTGGATTTCACTGATGAGCCCGGCAGGAATGCTGTCACAGGTAAGGCTTTGGTGAGTAGATGGAGACAGTGTGGGGCACAGCTGTGCCAAATTTCCCTGCTCAGGACCCCACTCAGTGCCCCCAAGCTCAGGTGTGGCTCTCTAGCCCAGCTGCACAGCATTGCTGGGGATGCTTGTGGAACAGCTGAAGCGAATCCTGTGTGGGAAGGAGGGACAGAGCGATGAGAGGTGGGTGCAGAGAACAGGGTCCCTCATGCAGTGCTGCATCCAGGCAAAACATGGCAGGATTGTTTGGGTGTAGGTGCATTTTGCTGTCCATGGAGCCTTGTCTTGGTCAGTGTCTTGTTTTTTGGTGATCCTGGAAGGTTGCTTAGTGAGTTTGGTCCTCAGCCTCAACTGTAGCCTCCAGGGTGCCGGTTTCTCCAGGTCACCTGACACATTTACAGGATCAGAAGTTGGTTGCTGTTGATGGCGCGACAGTTTTTTGTGAGCATTTTTTAATTTTTGACCCTATAATAGAACCCAAGAGATAAGCATGGAGAAGAAAGATGGGAAGGTGTTGCTTTGAGGTGTGACATTCAGTGTCCAAGTGGGGTAAGGGAAGAACCATGCTCAGGCTTTGTGGCACATCCCAAGTAAGGGACAGGGCACTGAGAGTGTGGGGACAGGACAGCGGGGCACAGGTAGCCGGGTGAGGATGGCAGAGATGATGGTGTTGGTCTTTAATGCAGCTCCTGCAACTCCCAGGTTGGACTAGCCAGCCACAGTAGAGCAAACCTGGTAAGAGGGGCAATGCCCAGATGCTTGGGGTTAATGGGGAGGGATCCAGGGATAGGTATGGAGGTAACAGGGCTCTCTCCCTCACCTCCTCTCTGTAATTGTAACTTTTTTGGTGTTCTAGGGGAGAGATCAAGGAGTGCCAGGAGTCCAGTGCCAAAGTAGCAGACAAAGAGGAAGTTAAAGAGAGAGAGGCGGTTCGATGGATGCGTTTATGTAATAATTTATTGACATAGGTAAGGGTGTCTCTTGGTGCTGGTGAGGGATGGAGGTCATGGTCTGAAATGCCCTCCCTCCCCCTGGATGTAGCAGCTGAGGTCCATGTCCTTAGGCACAGGTTGGAAATTGCTGGGGGCCATGGAGAAACATCCCTCTCAAGCCAGGAAAGGGAGATGGAGGGTATCACATGAGCAGAGAGGGGCTGCATCACCTCCCCATGCTCTGTGATGGGGACAATGCAGACGAGACATGAGGATGTGCCATGAGCAGGAGTGTTTGGGCATCTGCAGGTATTCACTCCAGTGGAGGCAGGTCCAGCACTGAGTATCAGGCAGAACTGGCATGTGAAGATGGGAAGCATTAGGGAAGCTCAGATTTCGTTGGAATCCCCAGGGACCACATGCAAGGGGCGAGTATTGCTTTGTGGCACCTGTAGATACATCATATCAGCCCTGGCTCCCTGATTGGTTGGGGTTTTTGGAAGAGGCTCAAAGCAGAGAGTCTCCCATGGACATCACCAATGCTTGATTCACTGCAGGTGACATCGAGAAAAGTGGGCAAGGTGACACATCCCCCCCAGATCCCTTCCCTCAGGAGGTTGTTGAGTTTTGGGAAGCACTTACCTGTCTGCTGGGGTCACTTGAGGGGGACAGCAAAGGTGTTCCTGATGTGCAAGGTCAAAGCAGCTCATAGCAGTGCTGGGATGGAGCTGTTTGCTTGTTGTGGCATTCAGGGAAAACTCTTGGGACTGGGCTTTTCATTCCCACGTTGGGAAAGATGAAGGAGGTCTCAAAGTGAGCAAGATTCTGATGGCTCTGTCACAGTCCCACTGCCCCCAGCCTCCAGGTAGCAGGTCGCACACCAGAAGAGCTTGTTGAATGTTTTCTCCTGGTTGATGGTGTGGAAAGGTGAGGCATCCCCTGGGAGTGATGGGCACAGCCTGCTGAGATTAAAGCCATGTCAGGGAGACACTGAGGGTCACGGGTCTTCTGTTCCTGGTCCTCATGGTTTTTGTCCTTTGACAAAGACGTTTGGTCTCTGTCACACACTGCCAGATCACGACAGGAGCAAACCTTGGGAGTGCATTGTCTGCAGAGACATTCCTTCATGGGGGCAGATTTAGTTGTCAGAGTGAGCATTGTTGCAAGATGACGGAGGAGATGCTGGGAATGTCTGTCTTGGAAAAGTGGCCCCCAGTCATGCTGCTTCCACAGAAGGTAGGTGAGTGATGAGAACTAAGACAGTCCTTACCCTGCAGGGACTCCATCAACAGGTGTGTGCTCATCGCTCATCAGCAGACACAGGTGGGCAGGAGCTGAGACTCACTGGTGGATTCCCAGGGGAGATGCATGGATGGGGTGAAGGGTGGCCCAAACAGCAGCAGGCCCCCAGCTGTGGTGCTTCAAGAATCACTGTCACAGGGGACAATCAAAAGAAAGTCCAGCCAAGTGCTGGGTGGGACCCCAGGAGTGGCAGAGGTCCCAGGCACTCGGGAGCCCTCCCAGCTCAGCTCAGCAGGTGCCAGCACTGCATCCCTTCCCTGGGGTGTGCGGGACCCGTGAAGCAAAGCCCCGAAGGTACAAAGTTCGTCAAACTTTATTGATACACTGCACAATCACAACCATCTCTTATTCTTGCCGAATTAGAAAAGGTTACAACTACAATGTAACATGCACAAATCTCAGGTAGTATAGCCACCCTTGGAATACAATGATCGACAGAAACTCAAGACCGGCCATCACGGCCATCAGCTGGAGAGACCCAAGAGCCACACTGCCCCCGCCCTGGGCACCCGGCCACCCCCTGGGCATCCAAACATGAAGAGCAGTGGTCACAAATGGGTCTGCCACCTGGCAGAGCCGCGGCGGGGCCGGCCTCAGACAGCCAACACGTTCCTCACAATGGCACGTTACATGGCACGAGAAAGTCGAATGCCGTCCCGGCAGGGTACAGGGGAGCCCACCCAACCCAGGGACAAGGATGGGATGGGGGCAGCCCTGGCACCAGGCCCGCCAGCCTCAGTGTGCGTCGTGGCATCTCGTCACCGCCACTCTCTGATTTGCCGTGGCCTCCTGCCCTGTGACTCTGCAGCATTTCTGCTGTGGGGATAGAGAAATTTGGGGCTGACCAAGGAAAGGGCATGGGGTTGTGGGGCAGTGCGGACCAGTAAAGGCATCAGGGCAAGGTGTCTCCATCACCCACGGTACTTTGGAGTGGGCATGTGGGGAGGGATGTGCGTGTTGCCGTGCTGGCTGAAGACAGTGCCATCCCCACGCGATAAACATGCCTGGGGCCATGGGATAGGACCCAGATCACTGACAGTGCCACCTTTCTTGGATGCCAGCGGAGAAGCAGAGCAGCACCGCAGGGACCGCAGGACGCGGACTCACCCAGTCAGTTCTGGATCCCCGTCCATCAGGTAAGCCAGCACCTCAGGCAGCCCCTGCCTGGGACCAGGCAGATTTTGTCAATCAGCCATGGTACGTGTTGAACATCCAGGATGGGCAGGCAGGAGCATCCACTGAGATTTTTGTATCAGGTCCTGGGCAGCCCACTGAGAACAGGGATGAGGATGGGCACAGCTGCATAGAGGACACAGTGGTGGCCCATCATGGCCTCTGGCTCAGGGTGTTTTTTCAATCTTGTGTGCTGAGGGCTGGCACCCCAGCTTCCTTGCAGCCACGAAAGCAGGTTTGGGCAGCAGCAGAGTTTGCAGGGGGACGACAGCATGTTCACGGCCGTTGTTCTTAAGTCATCTCACTTGTGGAGGGAGAAGGAAGGGACAAGGCACGGGGAGGTGCTGGGTCAGGACAGGGGACACTCTGTGCTTGCTCAGTGCCTTGCTGTAGTTGAGTCTCCCTGTTGCAGCAATAGGGTCTGGTGCCACATGTGACTTTTCAGGAGCAGGATGGGAGTGTCCATCCCCAGACTGTGGCACCAAAGCATTCCTGGGTGGCCATGGAGTGACAAGAAGGCTCAGGGCTGCCACAATGTACCAGGTAAGGGGGTCCGTGGTGCACGAGGCCATCAGGAGCACAATTCCTATGTGGGGAGATGACATGACTACTGCCACCATGGGTGGCAGGTCCCAGGGTGGCTAGAAGAAGCAGAGAGGGCAGAGTCTGGGTGTGTCTATTTTGGTGTCACAGGCAAGTTGCAGCAGGGAGCGTTGGAGCCATCCTTGTCCCTGCTGTGCCAGCACAGCAAATTGACAGAGCCCAGTCCTCCTCCACAGGGTCAGACACATCAGACTTTCCTCAGGCAGGGACACGTGATGAGCGTGAGACCAGGCAGAGTGAGAACATTGCAGCTCAGGGCCCCATGAGGGGCAGAGATACAGACGGTCATGAACATCAGAGCTGTAGCAAAAGGGCCTTGTCAGCTGGTGTTTCGATCTGTTGTTCAGAGCCTCTGCCCCACGCTGGTGATGCTGTGCTTTTGATATGCAGGTTGGAAAGTGCTTGGAAAACAAGCCCAGAGAAATGTCCCCAAAAAGTGCTGGCAGAGCATCAAGGTGAGAGCCATGGGGCAGCCCCTGCCATCAGGGGGGCAGCAGCAGAGTGGGCAGGGACCTGGAGCAAGGAGTGAGGGCCTGGCTGTCCAATGCAGCAAGAAGGCTCTAGTTTCTAGGAGAGCTGGTGGCAGTCCCCAGGGCTCACATTCCTGGGAGAGCAGCCTCATGTCCTCAGGAAGGTGAGGGGGTTTTAGTGGGAAGCACAGGGGTACGATGTCAGCTGGAATAAAGAGTAGTGGGAAGTGCGTGACCCTTGAAGGACAACTGGTTGTATCGGGTGTCCCTCTCCCAAAGGGCCAGAGAGCATCCTGTCAGGAGCAGAGGTGGGTGATGGGGGGCTGGCAACATCGGGGTGCTTAGGGAGGAGCTTTGGCGACGAGAACTGACATTCAGGACCGAGAGGGCTGAAGGCAGAGCCAGGAGGCTTCAACCTTGGGGTCTTTCTGGGCATAGGCGGCTTAGTGAGACGACGAGACGGACATCCCGGTGAAGGCTCTGGGCGGCACCCGCCCCGACGGCTCCATGCCCCTGGCGTTGGAGATGAGGCAGCCACAGGGGGCACCGTCCGTGCTGGGCCACATCCCCGGGGCGATGGTGGCGGGTGACAGTCTGGTGGCACGTGGTGGGGTCTGTACAGCATAACCGGCGGCGAGAACGATCCCGGCACGTGGGAGACGGGGCCATCCTCGGACGCTCGGCACCGCCGCCCGTCCTCCGGTGCATCGCCCGTCCGATGGAGAGGAGTCCCCGGGCGGCGCGGCAGCCGAGCCCGCGGCGGGGGAGAGGTGCGGCGAGGCCTCCCGGGACCCTCCGCTCCCTTATCAAAAGTCGAGAAGGAGGCGAGCAAGGAGGGTGGCCCAGAGGCAGAGGCCAGCGGCCACCCGGGACGCCGCGTTGCCGCCATCGTGCACTGCTCCGGGCCCTGTATGGAGGAGAGAGGAGGAAGACAAAGGAGAGCGTTAGGGCCAGTGCTGAGATGATGTGACAGCGCAAAGGGAACCCACCTCCCCGTTGTCCCTGCACATCCCACCCCTAAGCTGACCACGGTGTTGTGTTCCCCCTTGGAGGGGTGGTGGACTTGTCCATAATTTGAAGAGCATTGTGAGTGCTGAGGAGGAGGTGAGGAGGTCTTGAGGAGCACTTAAGGGAGGCACAGTCCTTGTATGAGGAGGAGGAGGAGGAGAAGGATGCCCTGGGCACGTGTCAGTCCAGCCCCACCGTGCTTTAAGTTGCCCTCCTTGGGGAGTCCTGATGCAAACAATCACGTGAGAGCCATTGGGATCAGAGGCCTTGGTGCTCTGGAGTGGCACAACTCATGACTGGTAACAAAGGATCATCAGCTCAGGAAATGGCATTGTCCAGATGTGGATTCTCAGGTGTGCAGGAGCATTTTTGGGGGTGCTGGGGGGTTCTTGGTAGGCAGGTCAGGAGGGAGGAGGCTGATCATCTGATTACACTGCTGGAACTGGAGTTTAGTTGGGTTTGTTTGTTTGTTTGTTTTTTGGTTTTTTTTTTTGTTAGGGCTTTTATTTGGGCTGCAGGGCACATATGGGCCAGTCAGTATGGGCTGAGACAGCTGGGCAGAGTGAAGGAAGCAGAGGCAGCCACCACACATTCTGCCACAGGGCCATGGGTCTGTCCACACTCCCCACAGCCATGGAGAGGAATCTGGGGAAGTCACAGGTCTGAGTCCCAGTACTGGCATTCTGAAAGGGAAGAAATAGAGAAATAAGTGCTTAGCTGTCTTAGCATCAAAAGTCAGGGCAAGGATGAAGTGTGAAGTAAATGGGATTCTTATGCATTTGTGAACATGCTCTCAGGCCTGAAGTCACCTGGAATGGGTTCATCATAGAATCCCAGAATGGTCTGGGCTGGAAGAGATCTTAAAAAACTTCTTGTGCCACCCCCTGTCATGGGCCAGCAACCCTTCCATTATCTCAGGTTGCTTCAAGCCCTGTCCAACCTGTCCCTGGACACTTCCAGGGATGGAGCAGCCCCAGCTTCTCTGGGCAACGTGTGCCAGGGCCTCACCACTCTCAAAATGAAGAATTTTTTCCCCAGTATCTAAACTCACCCTCTTTCAGTTTAAATCCATTCCCTCTTGTTGATGCCCTTATCAAAAGTGCTTCCTCAGCTCTCCTGTAGCCCCTTCCAACCCAAATCATTCTGTGATTCTATGAAATCATATCCAGTTACAATAATTTCCTCAGTATGGTGTCATTCCTTGTCTTTTTATCTACTGATTTTTTTTGTAAGCATTTATCTTAATTTAGGAAGAGGCAAAGGAGAGTCTGAGATGTTAAATCCAAGCACTGCCAGAAGGTGAAGGAAATGATGGGAAGATTGAGTGATGAGAAAGAAGCTGTGTCATGCCCATGCTCAAACAAAATTGATTATAAGAGCACATGATCATCCAAGAGAGGTAGAACTATGCCATAATCAGACATTTCCTTGCTGAATAGACCTTGTGATATAAAAAGTGGAAACCCACATTTGTTAGGGGCAGGTAGAGGCTTTGCAGGTAGAATTGAAAGAGCTTCTTAGCTTGGTTTTCCTCAGACCTATTACTGCTCCCTCTTCTTTGTTTTTCACCCCTCAAACCAATGGCAGCAGCTCAGCACATCATCCAAAATCATAAAACTAGTGAAAATTTCTGTAGATGTAATTCTACATGCTGATTAGCCTTAAACTTTTATGTATTTACACCTGCCCAAACACTGCTAAATTGGTGCCTTTCTCTAGCATCTCTATAGGTCTGGATTTTAATGTGTGACTAATTCTTATCACTATTTTCTAGTTCACAGTTCTGCACTGGTTATTGGCTTTGATTTAATGACACTTTTAGAAATTTCATAATCTATCCTAAAGCAATTGCATTGTGGCTGAGTTGGAGAGCTCCCAAATAGATAAGTCACCTAATACAGAGAGGAAATAAAAATAAAAATGCTGGGTCTTTACTAGAAAAAAATAAAACAAACATTTTCTCTTAAATGTATTCTTTACTGTGGAATAATGTATTCTGGTATCAGACAGCTTGGCCTTGTAAAGATTGTAAAGATACTCTACAGAAGAGACAAGAATAAAGATACAGGGACAAAATAAAGTAGTAATTAGATACGATCACAAAATCAGGGCAGATGGCTCATTTCATCACAGGCTGCCTGTGACTCCTGTGTGTTCTCTGAACTGTCACTCTCTGTGGGAAAGGGACAGTTCCCACTGGGACAGGCAGAGAACTCAGCTGAGGCTCCCTAGCCCTGCCATCCCAGCAAATATTTTTGTTCTGCTTTCCTCAAACCCCAGAGCTTGGGCACTAAGGTGTGAGTGCACCTGGACTCTGACTGCCCCTACTCAGCTTATTTATTATTGCAGTTATTTATTTTTGCTTGCTCTTAGTTTTCTTCCCCTTGATTTATTTTGTGTCCATTTTTCTGGCTATTTTCTTCCTTGCCTGGCTATTTTATTCCTTCTCCTTGAGGCAATCTTAGATTTTTTGAGACCTTCATTTGAGTACAGATGGCAAGGTTGGGATTTTGTTTCTCTCCTAAGATCTTGAATACAAAGGTCAGAAGGAATCAGTGGATCTGTGGTGAATAGATTTTCTTAACCTGTGCTGGAGGCACTCACAACGCCAGTGTGAGCCATGGGAATAACACAAATGTTAACAGAGCCAAGCAGTCCCTCCACATGCACCAAAAAATAGCTTTTACTTTCTTTTCCTGCTTTCTTTCTGTGCAGGACAGAAGTCCCATAACTTCCACTTCATTCCTTCCATTTTGTTGCAACATTCACCCTTCTCCAGGTGAGACACAGACACATGGAGATGAAGAATTTAGAATATGTCTCTGCTGCTTTTCATTTTCAGGACTCAGGAGAAAGAGGAAGGGAACGTGCCCATGCTCAGGGTGCTGCTGGAGCCTCTCTTTCCTAGAGGGCTCAGGAAAAGGCAACAGTTCCTCTCTCTTCTCATGGTCTGCAACAGCAGCTGATGGGGGAAAGCCTGTCCAATTCTTCATATCTGAGGACAGGAATTACTGAAGGAAGTCTGGGAGACCTGCTGGGGGAAAGCCTGTCCAGTTACTCATGTCTGAGTAGGAGCAGAAGCACCTACAGTAAGTCTTGGCAACCTCCCCGGGATGAGATAGTTCCTGATATTATTCCTCAGGTAACTGCATGGTCCTTCAAGGCCTGTCCCTGCTCATTGAAGGGAGGTTGGACTAAATGACCTTTAAAGGGTCCCTTCCGACTCAAATTATGATTCTAAGAAGACTCCAACAGGGGTGTTCACCCCTGTGACTGAACAGCCACCCAGTGCAGAGCAAGGAACAAAAAGTGGTGGCTTCTTGCACACAAAAAGGAGACAAAAGTTGAGCAAGACCTAAGGCTTGCCACAAACACAGAGCCTGGAACACTATGGTAATGTGAGCAGTGACTGTAGGTAGCATTTTATAGCATAGTGTAATATATGGATTGTTTACAGCATCTAATGGCAAAGTCAGAAATTGGCATTTCATTAATAGTTAAGGGAAAACACAAAGTACCAAACACAGGAAGACAACTGCACATATGAACTACAGGGACCAAGTGGAAATGAAAGTGGAAAAAGAAAAAAAATACATGTATAGTAGGTAGAGAAGATAGTATGGGAAGGCAAAGTAACCCCACAGGATAACAGGGAATGTCCTGGGAAAAACCCTACAAAACGTAACAATTCAGTGAAGAAGAGGGAGCTGTCCCTCATCCCTTCACAGGAAGATGGAGAAGAAGAGAACACGGATAAATACTGAGGAAAAAGAAGATATCCCATGTCAGCTCTGGCTTCATTCACCAAGACATAAAGGAAGCTCTTTGCCCTCACCTCCCAAGCTGCCCAAACCACAGTGCCATGGCACAACCTCTGCCCCCCATGAAAGTGCTCCTATTTGAGATTCACAGCTAATTTAGGCCAAGTTTATTAAAGACTAATTATTTACTTGTGTGTTGATGATGATTAAAGTTTAACCCTGGGTGACGTACCATGTTAACGATTGTCTAATAAAGCCTTGTTTAAGGTTTCAAGCTACATTGGTGTCTTTGAAACATCTCACCAGATCTGCAGCTGCAGAAAGAAAAGGTCAGTATGGACAGAGGGACACAGAGACCCAGGGGTACCAGCCAGAAGAGGCAGAGCTGGAGAGCTTTGTTCTGCTCCAGATCCCCAGGATCTATATTTTCCCCAAAAAAAAACTGAATGCAGGAGGAGCTTATGTGCAGACAGGCCAAGAGGGGCAGGTGCTCACAGGAATGGGGGGGATGGAATTTGGAGGCAGAGTCAGGACCAGGGGACAGAGGGAAGGGCCGGGGAGCCTGGCATGAGCAACTCATGGTGAAAAGGAAATTGAAGTCACCAGGCAAGCTGGGGTGAGGGTGGGACTGACACAACACTGCCACTATGGTGGGCAGGTGTGACACAGCAACAGCACACGGGGTTCCTTGGTGTGAAATGGAACAGAAGGAGTCCTGGCACAGACACAAACCCAGGTCCAAGCTCTGGTGTCACTGCTGGAGTTGGTGCCCTCAAATACTGGAACAAGAAAAATGGCTGAACTCAGCGAAGCCCAGCATGGTCCTCAGAGATGGAATGCAGGCTCAGATAATCCCATGTTAATTGGTTGACCTCAAGTAACCCCAATGACCTAAAGTAACCTCAATGTGCTCTGTGGAGAGTGAGTTTGACCTCAAGTAACCCCAAAGAGTAACTGGGTGACCTCAAATAACCCCACAATGACCTCAAGTAACCTTAAAGTTCTCAGCACAGAACAAGTTTGACCGCTAGTAACCCAAATGACCTAAAGTAACCCCAAATATTACATGGTTGACCTCAAGTAACCCCCAATGACCTATAGTAACCCCCAATGACCTTAAGTAACCTCAAATTGCTCTGGACAGAGCAAGTTTGACTTCTGGTAACCCCAAATATGAACTAGTTGACCTCAAGTAACCCCTTCAATGACCTATAGTAGCCCAAATGATCTATAGTAACCCCAAATATTAACTGGTTGACCTCAAGTAATGACCTCAAGTAACCTCAAAGTGCTCTACACTGAACAAATTTGACCTCTAGTAACCCAAATGACCTATAGTAACCCCAAATATTAAGTGGTTGACCTCAAGTAACCTCAAAGTGCTCTGCCCAGAACAAGTTTGACCCCTAGTAATCCCAACGATCTACAGTAACCCCAAATGTTAATTGACTGAGCCAAAGTAACCCAACGATCTAAAGTAACCATAAAGTACTTTACAGAAAGTGAGTCTGTCCCAGGTAACCCCAAATGCCAATTAGTTGACCAAATAACCCAAATTAACCCTATGAATTAGTCCTTTCCAGCTCTCCTGGAGCCCTTTAGGCACTGGAAGGGACTCCAAAGTCTCCCCAGAGCCTTCTCTCTTCCAGGTGAACACTCCCAGCTCTCCCAGCCTGGCTCCAGAGAAGAGTTGGCATTTCCCAAGGGGTGTTCGGAGCAGAAGATGCTGAGGGGATGGATGGCTCAGCCCAGAGTCATGAGGCACCAGCAGAGCCAGCCCCAGCACCAGGCACCTGATGGACATCTGCCCTGATCCCACCCAGAACATCCACACAGCATAATCCACTCAATTAACAGGAAAAAAAAAATCATTTTATTGTTGACCAAAGAGAATGGAAGCCTTTGTAAGTCCCCACCCAACAGTGTTCTGTCCTGTCCACAGCTTCCAGCTGGGCCAGCTGTGACACCATGGCACAGCAATGTGTGACCACCAATCCCTGAGCTGTCCACCAGCACATTCCTGAAGCAAAATAAAGCTGGGGATTGCAATTCCCAGACTCTTTGGAAGCAACTACAGAGCTTACATATCTCAGCCTTTTTGTGGGGTATTAATAATGGCAGGTGGCAACTTGAAGAATGATGAAATGAGGTGTGAGCTGCTCCCTTGACCTGAAAAGCATTGCTGATGGCAGACACAAAAGAGCAGTTGGACAGATTCACCTGCCCTTCGAAGTTCCTGTGATGTACAAAAGTAGATGTGGGGTAATTACTTTCTCTCCTGTACAAAAGACCTGGTTCAGATATTTATACTCCCTCAATACAGCCCTGCCTCCTTCTCCTCTCCTTACTAATTTCCACTCCTAATATCTCCTAGTTTTGTCAGATTACTGGTTTGTGTGCACAAATAAACACAGAAAATCACTGCAATCACAGACACTCCACAGCAATAGGTAAACAGGGCAAAGATGCTATTTCTCACTCTTTTTTTTTTTTTTTTTTGCATATGTTTTGCATTGATTCTCTTTTTGCAAAATTCAAATATTTGTAGTGAGGCTCTGGCACAGGTTGCCCAGAGAAGCTGTGACTGCTCCTGGATCCCTGGAAGTGTCCAAGGCCAGGTTGGATGGGGCTTGGAGCAACCTGGGATAGTGCAAGATGTCCCTGTCCATGGCAGGGGGTGGAACTGGATGAGCTTTAAGGTCCCTTCCAGCCCAAACTATTCTGTGATTCTATGACTTGTGTTTTAAGTGTTTTAAGTCAAGCAGTCTTTAAATATTGAATCAGGGCTCTTATTCTTAAAGACATAATTGCTTTCCCTTGCTTTTATGTATTTAGTCTGAAGCTGCTGATTCTTAAGAGAGTGCACAATAAAGCATGAAAAGATTTTATCTCTCCATAGAATAATTGGTTTAAATCACATCTAACACTTGGTATTTTAACTTATTTTCAGTTAACTTACCCAATCATCAATCAAAAAGATTACATACTAGAAATGAGACCCTGAACATTGGAAAAATGCAGATGGCATCTTTTATAAAACATCTACATCTCTCTTTATTCCAATAGCTCTTCAATGGAAAGGGCCAATAAAAGGTCCCAGAGCTCCCAGTTTGGAATGGGGGCTTGGGGGAATTTCCTTTGGTGACTGAGGGACACGCTGCATTTAAAAGAGATGTAAAGATCCAGGTTTGGGTGATTTTTTTTCCCCATCTCCATATATAAATAGCAAGTACAAAATGCAACATGCTCATCAAAAAGTGAACCCAGACACGAAATCTTTAAATAAAAGAATTAGCAGATTTCCAACCACTTGTGCTCCTCTCCCCTTTGGCAAAGGCTGGTAGAGACTGTCCAAGAAACACCACGCACATACCCAAATAGAAGCTCTTCACAGAGCCCATCTTTTCCATTCTCCCCTGTGTTTCCAAGAAGCTGCAGCTTTGACAGACAAGCTGTTGAATTTCACAACATGTTCACGAAATGAAAAAAGCGCAATCCTTGAGGAAGGATGGAATCCCACCTGCTTAAATTCCTTTTTGAGCTCACTCCATGGCCTGCTCCTGACTGTTCCTGTGTGCTTCACTCAATACACTCTTGAAAAATGGGGGGGAAAGAGAATATGAATGTTTTTTTCTCCATTAAAAGTTATGAAATTGAAATAACTTTAGGTATCCTGAGTCTTCACACATCAATATCCAAAGGATGTGCCAATATCCTTTCAAAGACAAATTTAGGCTTCAGTGTTGGTGCAGCTAAATACCCACATGAAAACAAACAAAACATTTTAAATTTTAACTTTTCCTTCCTAATGCTTTCTTTCCTAATCTTCCTTATATAAAACAAGGATTAGAGGAATATTAGTATTCCACTGAACAGACCATTACTAGCAGGAGTTGCTACAAAGCAGGGAGAGCCACAGGACTGGGCTCCTACATCACACTTTTTATGGATGATTTTTAATATTACTGTTTTGCCATCAATGCAATCACCTCTAATGTACTTCACTTCAGCCTGCTGGAAGTGTTTGTGGGATTAATTTATTAAAACAAGGTGAAATTTTGTTTTCTCTGCATGTTGGCATCAATTAATAACCGTTGTGAGAGGATTGCTGTGCTGTCACAGGAGGAGTGTGTAAAGAGCAACACTATCTGCTGAGAGAAGGAAAAATGCCCGAAAACAGATGTTGTCAAATAAAAGATAACCACGTAACAGCTTGGAACAAAACCAAAAATCCCTAATCCAGTCCCCTTCTGAGTGCAGGGAGTTACCTCCACTGCGACTTTTTCTTTAGTCTGGTTTCAAGTAATGGAAAAAAGACTTAGGTGATGTTATTTTGTCTCACATCAGAGAAAGAGTAAGTGCAAGGGTGCCAGCAGGATAGGGAGACAAAAAAAAAGAATATTGGGAAAACTGGATTGGAAACTTAATGTACTTATTTATGTACTAAATATCATAAATACAATATTTACTATATACAGTCATAGAATCATCAAGGTTGGAAGAGACCTTTAAGAAACCTTTAAGAGCATCAAATCCAAGCATCAATTCAGCACTGCCACTGTAACTCCTGCACCCCAAAAACATATATATATAAAATACCACATATACATTGTAAGTTATATATTGTACTATGTAAAAACTAATAATGTATGCTAGATATTCTATAATTTATATACTATGAGTACAATACATAATATATAATAAAGAATAATATGCTTATATATAATAATATGTGTCAACAAGACACTATTATTAAATATATGAATAACAGTTGTTTTCACATCTATATATATTTATTATTGATGTTTCATTATTATTAATAATATGTACTACATTGTATTTGTATCATATTGTATTATATATAGTCTATTATACTATACTGCACTATACTGGATATTGGGAAAATTTCTTCACCAAAAAGGTAAAACAGAAGAGAACAGAACAGAGCAGTGGAGAGGGAACAGAACCCAGAGCTTGGACCCAAAGAGAAGAAATCACGCCAGGGCAGAGGAGAACTGGTTAGAATAGAAAGGCCTGGACTAGCCCCTACCCAAACACAACCCTGCAGAACACAACAGAAGAGAATGGAGCAGAGAACTCCTGAAGGGGCCAGCCAGTCCCACAACCAAAGCCAAAGATGTGCCACTCCCACCACCCCAAAACACCAAGAACCCCCCAGGTCCCCTCCACAGTGTCTACCCATCCAAAGTCCAAGCTGGTGTGGAAACTCTTGTCCCTCTCAACGTCTCCTTGAGCCTGCTACCTGACCTCCATCCCCTCCCTGCTGCTGGGGGAAGGCAGGCTCCTGCTGTCCTCCCTTGGATCATGATAGCTCTCTCGGCTTGTCACAATGTCAAAGGGACATGCCACAGGTACACGCCACCTTACCCAGTGACAGCTGTCCTTGATGACACCATTCCTCAAACACCTTCCTGCCCTGGCCACCTGAATCACCCAGGCTGATGTCACCCATCCTGCTATTGCTAGTACAATGTGATCACTGCTGGCAGTCCTGCCAGTAGCAAACAAGGGAAAACCCCACACCATGCACCCAGAGTGTGTTCTCACCTGTCCCAGGCTCCCTCCTCACCCCTGCTCCAGCAACAACAGGGCTCAGCCGACTGTGGCCAACTGTGCTGTGCTCCCAGTGTCGGGCTGATACAGATCTCATCCTTTGGACATTCTCTGGCAGGACCTCACTGCTCGGGGTTTGTGCTGTTTGGCACCTCGATGGACCAGGAACACCAAATACAGCCAGCTCTGCTCCATCACTCCACCACTGGCCATCTTCCAGCCTCCTTTTCTTCATCCTCCTCATCATGATCTTCAAACTCCTCTTCATGCTCCTCCTCCTCTTCCTCTTCTTCATCCTCCTCCTCTCCAAATGCCTCCTCTTCACTCTCCTCTTATTCCTCCTTGTCACCTCACCTTACTGCAAAAAACCGGCACCTACCATAGAGGATGATGCTGGCGTTGGTGTTGCCCAGCTTGTTTGTGGCCACGCACGTGTAGTTGCCGTAGTCCTTCTCCGAGACGTTGAAGAAGGTCAGCGTGGACAGGCGGCCCTTGCTCTCGATCCGCACTCCCTCCAGCCCGTTTGCTAACCTGCAGGGAAACACGGATAGCAGTGCTGGGAGAACTGGGCTGGGGTGGATCTTACCCCTCCCTGGGCACTACTTTGCTTCCCACCAGCCAACACCACTATGCACCCACATGTTCCCCCACTGGACTTGTGCAAGATAAACTCTCCATTCCACCCTCCATCCACCCTCCCATAACCCAGCCTGACCCATGTGTCCCACAGCCGCCATCCCTGGGAGAAACAGCTCTGGGATTTCCTCAGCCCTTAGCTGAGCACCCACCATAATGAGTGGTGAGTGCTGATCCCAGCCTTTTTCCACATGACAGCCTCAGACACTGTCACCCGCCTCTACCTCCTCACCGTGTCACCCCAAGGCGGTGGCAACCCTCCCTTCCTCCACCCCCTCTGCAGCCCCTCACCTGGTGTCCTCCTTGAACCACTGAAACTCCGCCACGGGGACGGCCGAAGCCTCGCACTGCAGGATGCCCTTCTGGCCCACCGAGGCGCCCGTGTTCTTGGCGTTGGAGATGTACGGAGGGTCTGCAGAGACATCTTGCTGTGTCACACTGGGCCACGTGCACCCATTCCCCCCCACCATTCCCCTGTGCCCTGCACTCACAGTTGACGGTAACTTTGACTTTCCGCACGTCCGGGACGGCCACGTCGTTGACGGCGCTGCATTCGTACTCCCCGGACTGCTCCCGTGTGATGCCCGTGATCTCCAGGTACTCGTCCTCACTCACAAAGGTCTGCCCTGGGGGATGTACTGAACGTGTGGCACCGTCACCCATGGACACCAACATCAGGAACTTCCCTGTGCCCCTCCCCCGACACCCCCTGTCTGGGCATCTGGCATCCCCTTCACCCAGGAAGCACTTGACAAGGATCCTCAGCCCCATCCCAGGTCACACCAAAATATCAGCACCTCTGACTGTGAGTCACCTTAATGCCACCCTGACCACCTCTATAGGGACAACCATGCATCCCACACAGGCCAGCATGGTCCCTCCTCCGACCCAGGAAGTTCTTCCACCAAGGAAGGGCTCACCTTTCCCGGAGAGGTGCCGCCACGTGACGGTGGGCTCCGGTCTCCCAAAGGCCAGGCACATGAGGGTCACGCTGCTGCCCTCGTTCACGGTGATGTCCGACGAGATGTTGACAATCTGGGGGGGCACTGAAAGACATAAAGGCCACCAAAGGCATCATCAACACACCAGCTTGCCAGGCACAACTGGAAGGCCCATCATGAGACCTGTCCCATTGTGTGATGCTGGTGTCCCCTCCATTGCCTTGTCTAGTCAGCAATTCCATGTCTCCAAACCAGTATCTTGGACTGGAGCCAAGCATAGATGTGGGGTGTGGAGGGGTCCATCACTGTGCCAGCCCCCCCACTCCACGGCTGAGACCCCAATAACCAGCTCTCGTTATGGCCTGTGACAAGGCTCATATTTTAGCATATTTATTAAAGCTGTTTAAATTACTGAGCGTCTGCTCCTTCAATACTGGCCAGGGTGATTTATATTACTCTATCCCCAGATACTCCATCTAATAAATAACTTGGCAATCTCTGTACCCATAAATATCCCTGGCCATGGCAAAAAGCAATTAAAGCTCACTTGCCGATGCTGCTGCCTGGCACTCTGGGCTGTCGGACACAACCCCCTAAAGGGTTTGCACCCCAGGGAGTAAATGAGGCTATATTTAACAACCCTCCCCAAATGAAACACCATACCTACAATGCCAGAAAGAATGCCCTGTGCCCCCTCCCCAAGCACACAACATGCTGAAAGCCCAGGTCAAGTGGCACCTGATGCCCAACCCTTGCACCCAGGGCTCTCCCACAGCATTGGGATTCCAGGATAATCACCCGAAACCCACTGTGGCCAACACCATCACTGCCTGCAAGGGAAAGTGGGGCTGCCTGGCTCTCCTCGCACCCCCAGGGAAGCTCTCCTCACACTCCCAGGGAGGTTCTCCTCTCTCCTGGCGTGGGAGAGGCGGCACAGTAGGATGAGCCATGGCAGAGATGCGGTGCGGGCTCTGCAGCCCTATGGGTTCTGCAAAGCAGTAAATTTCCCAGCAACTTGACACATTAATATAGAAGTACAGTCTGTTATAGCAGAGGGAGATTGTCTGAGTCCTTCAGGGGAAAGCAGCAATCCAAAAATGAAAAGTGTGTGCCGGCAACTGCTGGAAAACGTAGTTAACGCTCGGAGCAGAACCGGCCAACTCCGACAGCGCAGCCACAATGAGCTGCAGGAAGGCTGTAAATGGCCCTTCCTCACTCAGACAAGATAACACTAATCCATATTACCAGCATCCTTGCACCTCTCCCCTCCTAACAGCTCCTCAAACTGGTACCAGGAACATCTGAAAACTACAAGAACATCTAGGACAAAACTTCCCACAACTGGAGCATTTTTTATCTGCTCCTGAGCCTGCAAACCAGCCCTCCTCATGAGCAGTTTTGGTCCGAGATGACATCACCATCGTTAGTGGATGCTGAGACCTTGGGATGCCACCCCTGCTCCAGATGGCAGCCTGTCTCTTCCTTGTGTGATTTTGCCTGCAGATGCTGGACTAGAGCAATGGTGTATGATGCAGGGCATCAGCAAAATCACAGTCATCATTCCATCCTTGCCCTCCCAGACACCTCCAGTTCAAGGCTGACATCCCTTTCCTGTTCCCTGAGTCCCAAACCACAAGTACAAAATGAGATGCAGAAACTGGTGCTCTGGGCACAGATGTGAGCCTGTCCCCCTCCTGGGAACAGAAACACTTTCACTCCTGTGGAAAAAATTACCACTACCCATAACCACTACAGTCTCAGTGCTCCCATTTGGAAAACCCCAAGCCATACAAACCCACATATCGGCCTGAAAGCCCTTCCCTTAGCAAAGGATGCTGACACAGACAAGCCAGCAGGTCTCACAGCGGGGAATTGCATTTCCTGAACATCCAGAGGCCAGGGAAGCACGGCTGTGCTTCGACTGCTTGCCCTAATCCAATCAGGAATGCCCCTGTGAGCCAGCAGGGACATGCAGCAGAGGGACACCCATGGACAGCATGGGGACTCCACTGGGCAGCTCAATACCTGTGACTGCGATCGTTGCCTATGAGGTTACCAGGACTTGGAGAAGGACATCAAAGGACCTTGATTACATTTTTATAGATCCCACTGACTGGGCTGTCAAGGATGCTGTCTCAAGGACACACTGGTTTGCCACAGGAGGAGCAGGTGGAAAGTAGGGGGATTTAAGGATGCAGGCAGGGTGAGTTTGGTGGCAAACATGATGTGGATAAAGCCAGCCTGCAGCCACACTCTGTCAGTACCATGAGATAGGGATGGCCAAGGCATGGCTGCCCTGACAAGCACATCCCACCAAAGCTGCCTTGTGTCACAGTGGTGACAGCTTGGGATTGGTGCTGGGGGTGGAATCCAAAGGCTCTCCCAACCCCCCACAGGTTTCTTTTGGTCCCCTCACAAGTCAGGCAGCCTTGCAGCCCTCCAGCATGATTGTGGTTGCTGTTCCTAGTCCTTTACCTGCTGACAGCATCCTTTCCCTAAATTACCTTTGGTTCTCTACATTTCCCTCCCTCTGCTCTGTACAGCTGCAGTGAGAAAAACAGGGCAGAACACCATCTCTATCCCCTTTTATCCATAGTCCTTCCTTGCAGAAGTCTTCAATTATAAGCAAATGGAATAAAGAATAAATCCCGAGGAAGCGACAAGCGGCATGGTCTCACCGGAGCGACGAGCGGCGCGCAGAGGGTTTCGTCAGCCCTGCGTAATATTAATCACAGGGAAGTTAATGCATAAGGTTTGGTAAGCCAAAAAATACATTTGCACTGTAATTTCTTGTTTGTTCGGAAAGCCGGCGAGAGAAATTGAATGTGAAAGCGATGCCACTAAATTCAATAACAATAAGCCCGTGATTTATCTCCATCCTTTACCACTTGAGACCTGCACTGCCTGGTGCGCCAATCCACGCTCTCCACGGGCCCTGGGCACGTGCCAGTGTCTGCCACTATCTGTGGGGACTGTGAGGTGCCATCCCTCCCCTCACCTCACAGACTGGGCGCTATGGGGCTGGCCATGGCATCACACCTGCCATGTCCTGTGCAATACTTGGGATATCTGTGGGACTCTCCCCAGTATGTTCCATCCCACCATCTCCAGGCACCAGTGGTGGCTTTGCAGTTGTTGTCCCATCTGGGGACAAATCAACGGGAAAGCTCAGACCTGGCGAGCCACTACCAGACACCCAAGCATGAGGAGGGACGGTCACTGCCCGCAGGGACGCTTCTTCCCTGCTAAACCACGCGGGGAACAAACAGCACCTCGGGAATCGCCGCGTGATCAGAGGCTGCACATGACGGTGACGCACACGACCGTGTGCAGGCTGACTCATCCCCGGCCGCTCCGGAGCGCCGGTCCCTACCGGAGCCACTCGCCGCCGTGGCCCTGGATTATTTTTAGCTGCCAGATCATTACTGCTGCACGCCTCGGAGCGGAGAGCCTGCATGAGCACAGTGGCTGACACATGCAACTGATGTCCCTCCTCCACATCATTAGCTCCTAATCCATTAAAAGAGATGTCTTCCTGCACTGCCGATAAGGGGAGATGACAGATAACTATGGGTTCTTCAAGCTGCCAGGCAACAGCCACTTGTCCACCCCTACCTGGGGGACAGTTCCCCATAGGGACAGCAGAGAGGGACATCTCATCTTCGGAGCTCTGAAGCCTCCATGGACACTGTCACACCTACAGCACATTGTGTTTCTGCCCTGGCACCTCCCTTTCCATCCCCCCTCACACATCTCCTATTTTGGGGAGATGCAGCATTCATGCAGCTCCCTCACCTCTGCAGCTGCAGTGTCCAGCTGTGTCCTGTGACAGGTGATGCTGTCACCAGCAGGGAGAGGGACTATCACCCTAGCAGGGGTCGGATGCCTGCAGGAGATGACACTGCCTCCCTTCCCAGCACCCCAGCTGCCTATAGCCCCAGGCATCTCCAGCTCTGCAGAAGCCTCCCCGGCACAGGCAGGATGGGGCTGTCAGAGGTGTCACTGTGCAAGGTCTCATTAGCGTACAGAAAGTCAGCACAAAGGAGGCAAATATGCTGAAAACTCACATTTTGCCTGTGCTTTCCATCTCCTTCACTGATGAGAAGCACAGCAGGATGGCACCAGGGCCTCCTCCAGTCCCTGTGTGTCTGCTGAAGGCACCAGCAATACAAGACCTTCCCTAGAACAGCTCCTGTTTGGGGCTGATGGCATTAAATGGGGCACCTGAGAGCCAGCTCCTGGCTGGCAGATGGAAATGTTTTCCCTCTCTCCAGCTCACTGCTTTTGTGGTGCAGGAGATACCTGCAAGGACACACAGGGTAACCCTGTGAAAATGTACCTCAATGTTCCCACAGGGGAAGTGACTGGGGCAAGGAGGTGATATCAAGAGTTTTAACAACATGTTGCTACTCAGCAGCGATGATGATCATCTCTGATCGAACCGTTCTGGTGACAGCCCTGTCTGAGAGGCTCATCAGAGCTGATTTTATTGAGATAATGGATTAAGCACTTCTAAAAGCTACAGTTTGGTCAACAAAATGATTGTTGTCAAATTTGCCTGTCAAGCGAGCTGCGTGTCATGCTCACATTTTCTGCAGTCACTCCATTTTGGTAATATCTTCCTTTTCCCTTTGCTGGAGATCTTGAACACCCTCTTTTCACAGCACTCCCCCAGTAAAACACCCTCTGTGGGATCTCTGTGGGATTTACAGGAAGGAACACAGCAAAAATTAAATACAGGCACAGAGCAGCCTTTTCCAGGTGGAGTCACCTGACTGCTCGCAGTGCATCCTTTTTCTCCAAGTTTTCATGTTAAGACAGGGAAAGCAATAAAACCGAAACTCACAGTGTTATACCTACTGTGTAACCACCTGTCAGTAAATTTATGAACAATTAGGAAGCAAGAGTGCTTCCCAGGGAGCTATTTGTGCACGAGCTAAAACGTTCTTTCTGTTCGGAAATATAATGGGGAAACAACTTCACCAGTTCTCCCTCCTCTTCCCCAGTTTTGTTTTCTTGCAGTAATTAATCATCTGTTGCTACTGGTCCCTGCGGCACATCCTGATGGCTCCTTTTCACCAGTTTCAGGCAGCTTTGAGACTGGGAGCTCAAGGATGCTGTCAGGTGGACTCCATCCTGTCCCTTTCCCATTCTCCCATCCGCATTTTGGGTTGGCATGCCATGGCAGGCACTTTAGGGGCAGTGGCTGTTCCCGTCTGGGCAGTGTGTGTTATTTTCTGCCTGCCAGTCTGACTCTTCCTCCTTCCAGACCTTCCCCCTCTCCCCGCCCTCACTCTTTCATTGCTCTTTCATTTCTCCCCTTTGCTGCCTCCTGCCCTTTTGATGCTCCAGTGCTTTTCTGTGTGTGTACATTTCCTTCTCTCTTTCCTTTGTTCTAGGGACTCTGGGCTTTTCTTCTCATTCTTTTTTTCTTTTTTTTTTTTCCCTCTAGTTGCTTCCTTCTTCAAACTTTGCTATTCCTTCCAGATTTTCTTTGGGCTGTTTTGTCGTTGAATTCACTATCACATTGCTCCTGCATCACCTTCATTTGGCCGTTTTCACTCTCTTGCCCATCCTCTGCCTCTTCAAGAAGGAAGAAATGTTGGGATAGGGGTCTGGCTGCAACTTTTCATCCAACCTTTCTTCTTTGGAGAAAAAGATCTCCATGGGGGTGGCTTGGTGGGAGGAGGAGTGGGGGTGTGGCCCTTTGAGAGCCCTAAGGAGCCACTTTTTATCACAAGGGAAAAATAAAAGTCTCGGTTTGGTTTTGAAGCACTCATGGAGAAACTACATCTGCACTGGTGCTGCAGTGAGATACAGGAGCAGCTCCAGGAGAGCATCCCTAGGTGGATAACACACCCTGTAAACAAAGGCCATGGCCCTTCAAAACCTGCCCTGGTTCCCAGGGCGAGGAAAGCAGCAAACACCAAGACAGAAAATGGATTGTGCCAATCAGAAACAAGAAGAACAATGCCAACAGCTGGGAGAGGCTTCAGTATGGATAGTAGGATTAAGGCAGGACAGGGAAGGGTTCTTTAAATGAATCAGAAACAGAGGACATCTGAGAAATACCAAAGACCACGAAACAATGCCAACAGCTGGGAGAGCTTCAGTATGGCGAGTAGGATTAAGGTAGGACAGGGAAGGGTTCTTTAAATGAATCAGAAACAGAGGACATTGAGAAATACCAAAGACCACTGTCAGGTAGGGATGGCCAGTACCAATGTTCACCCCCGAAATCTAGACCAGAAGGGATCACAGCCTCCACCAAAACACTGACCCTGAGCTCCACGTTTTGGACTGAAGTACAACCTGAAGCAGCCCAAGCCATGAAGGCAGGGCTGTGTCCTGACTAGGGTCTACCACACTCCTCACTCCAAAACCATCCTGCAGCATGATGCCATTAAGGGCTCCTGGCTCCTCCTGGCAAACCTGCACCTCCCAGGAGCTCTCCCTCTCCCCCTTTTTGAGAGGTGGCCTTCACACTCCTCCTGCCTCTGGGGCACTTCACTTCCCAGAGGCAGGAGGGCTCACCAAGGTCCACTCCACTTCAGCTCCACTCCAGCCTTTATGACAAGAGGAGGATGGGGTGGCTCATCTTCTGCTTATATGAGCTTAAATGCCTGTTCTCTCTGCATCCCAAACTCTCCCCAGAACACACTAGCGTGCCATAAACACCACACATATCTCTGAAAGCATCCATCCCTTCATCACGAGGCAGCTCCTGACAAAAAGAGGAACAGGGAGACAAAAAAACCCCTCTGGCTTCCTGCCATCTACGCTCTTATAAACCCTGCTAACGGCTGTTGCAATGAACCAATGCAAGAGACATATTAATAGTGCTACTAAGAGACACATTTACTGTTGACGGCGATTCCCTGGCAGATTTATTGCTGGGTTGCTGGGAGGGAAGGCTGGGCCCCTCAGTAGCACAATTAAAACCCAATTGAACATGGGGCACAAAGAATCAATACTCTCTCCGGCCAACTTTTAGTTTTGCAAAATAGAAACAGAAATTAATTGACCTGAATATAGTTGCTAACTGGTCATTACTGCTTGTTTGGCATCCTGCTGGCACAGTGAGAGCAAAAAACAGAGGACAGACCTAAACCTCAATTTTGAGGCCAGAAACAGGGCTTTGCTCCCGTCCCTATAAAGTGTGTGCTCTGCTTGCAGTAACAGCCAGGACTAAATCCATCTTTGGAAAAATCATTCCTTTCTTCTCAGCAGTGAGCAACGGGCTGCGTGTTGTTCACCCAAACAAAAAGCACAATTTAGCCACCAAGGAACTGCAGTGGAGCTGAATGATAGAATGGCTTGGGTTAGAAGTGACCTTAAAGATGATCTTTAAGGTCACTTCTAACCCTGCCATGGGCAGGGTCACCTTCCACTAGACCAGGTTGCTCCAACCTGACCTTGAACACTTCCAGGGGTGGGGCAGCCACAGCTTCTCTGGGAAACCTGTGCCACAGCCTCACCACCCTCACAGGAAGGAATTTCTTCTTTACATCAAGCCTAAATTTTCTCTCTTTCAGTTTGAACCCATTATTCCTTTTAACTACAACTCCTGATGAAGAGTCTCTCTTGACTTCTTTGTAGGCTCCTTCAGATACTGGATGGCTGCTATAGCACCTCTACACAAACTTCTCTTCCTCAGGCTGAATCAGGAACAGAGCACAGGAGGATTTGCCTCTCTCATCACCACCATCAAAGGCACCTACAGATGGATTTTCTCAGTTTGGCAAACCATGTGGTTTGAGCTTAATACGTTGAAAGGGAAGTACAAACACTGCTCAGCATGGACCACTTGACCTGTGCCTGCACCCACAGTTCCTCTCTTGCTTGCCTCCAGCTGTGCAGAAGTGACACTGCTGAGAACCACAGGCATCACTGCGGTGGGAGCAATTCAACAGGACTTGCTCACACCAGGAAAAAAACTTCTCCCAGCACAGTTAGGAATGCCTCACCACCAGACTATCACTCTGGACACAAACTCTCTCTCACCTTCACCTGGCTGTGCCTGGCAAGTGCCTGCACCACCCTGAGAAAGGGGTGAGGGCAGCAGGTGCTGAGCATCGCTGCCAGTTCACCTGATTTCATTAGGTGCAAAGCACTCGGATACTTCACCGGTGTTGACTGGATGGATTAGCACGATTAGAGAGCAGACAGGATAAACAGATTAAACCTCACAGATGGACAGCTCGCACACAGCTCGAAAAGGAGGAGAGGGACAGCTCTGAACAAGGAGATGGAGGGATGCTTCCAGTGGATCTCCTCTCTCCTCTTCCTGAGATGAACACTCCCCTTCTTCACCACAGCCTGGTGCACACAATTTGGGGTTTCCCAACACATTCCCACAACCACCAGGCAGGAACACCTGTTGGATAGGTGACCACAATCAGCCCCTGCCTCTAGCCAATGAGAAGGGTGCATAAATACATACATAACTCTGCTGGGGGCTTCTCAGAGACGTGTCGAGGCTGAGAAAGTTTTCAGATTTGCTCATTGCAAAATCAATACCCATCAGCTGTTTGAAATTAAAGGAAAGATTAGGTCCTGGTTTTATACATGCTTTATTGTATTCTGAGAGCTTTCTACTCAGCCAAATAAATCTTCTTTAAGAGGATTAGGAAACTTTCATTATCTTTATCTAACCTGAACTAACACTAACTCTGAAAAATTAATCTAGAGACCGGACAAAAGCCAGTAGCTGGTGCAAAGCCGCAAGAATCCAGAGGCAGCATCCATCAGAGAGCTACTGGCCCCTCTGAACTGCCAGCACCTGGATCCCCCCATCAGAACAGCTTGAGGACACTGCTTTGCAGCACAACAGCATCTGCTATATTGATACACTTGCCTATGGAGCCCTGTGCCAAGAGCCCTTCATGGCCCCACAGTGATTTCAATCTCTCTCCCAAAACCATGGAGCCTCGTGCTGCTGGTCCCTGCTTCCCCTCTATGTGCCTGGCAGCACATTGCTTTTGGTTCTCCTGAAGCATCTTCGAACACGGGCTTGACAACCTTACTAATGAATCCCTGATGGAGCGAGCTGAGCAACATGGTTCCGATGGTTCCAAGCAGTGGAAATTCACAGCATGGACAGGCAAAGGGGAAATAAAGAAGAGCTCAGCAGCCCCACTGCCAGTTCTCAGACGTCCTCTGCCCCATGTGACAACTGTACAACACACCAAGGCTGACACAATACACACTCATCTCCTCCCTGGCATGGTGGGCACTTGTCCACATCACGGTTCCCACGCCATGCAATCTCTGAAGCAGCTAATGCTGGCTCCAACTCCCCTACCAAGAGGGCCTCCAAACCCCTCCCAAGTCCAGACAGCCTTCCAGATCAAACCATCCAGCAACAGCACGAGGCACGTTCAGACCTACCTTGCACGATGAGATGGACGCGTGAAGTCTTGGGGTGATTGTCTGTCTGCACAGAGCAGGTGTAGGGGCCCTCATCGTATATGTCCACATTGTGTATCTTGATGCTGTACTGGGTCTTGGTGTTGGACAGGATGACCACACGGTTGTCTATAGACCACTTGTCATTGCCGGCATACAGGATGGTGCTGCGGTTCAGCCACGCTACCCGCGTGACCCGGTCATCCACAGTACACCTGGAGGGGACACACAGAGGGTCACACACCTGGAACGGGACATGTACAGAGCATCCTGGGTCCTAAAAATGAATGGGAGCAGGATGGCAGTGTGGCTCCCCAGCTCTGCCAGCATGGAGGTGCTGCATGCTGTGGCCATGCTCCCTGTTTCCACACCCCTCATCACATGAGATTTCACATAAACAGTGGGTTCACCAGAAATAAAACCTCCCTTTTTCTTTTACACACAACTGGGGAACCACAGAAAAAATTCCCATTGTTTGACCTCTGTAAGCCAGGCAGACCATCTCTATCCTCTTTCTCATCCACCTCCACAGCCCCCCTTGCCTTTGCTGTGCACTGAGAATTCCAGATGAAGCTGTAAAATGTGCTGACAGTTCAGCTTGTCGGCACAGGCCTCGAGCCATCCCCGGGGTTATAAACACCCCCACTGCTGGGGACAGGGGCCACAGCACATGCACAGGGAGAGGAGAAGAAGAGAAACAGCCGGAGACGGCCAAGCCAGCACACGGGGAAGGGAAGGGAACATTTGGATAAGCAGCTGTAAATCCTACAAGTGCCTTGAAAACACAACGCGGTCGTTTCCATTATTTATTTCCTGTCTGGCTCCCACCCTCCCTGCTCTGAGACGTGCAGGAGCTCGGCAGCTCCGGTCCATGGCGCTGAGTTACACTTGGCAAAAAATGGTATGAGGGGGAAGGGAATTAAAATGTTCCTGGAAAACATGGCTTTTTCATGCTCTTTGATAGATTCTTCTCCATCTATCTACTTGTGGCCTTCTCTGCTGCTGCCATGGTATCTGCAGCAAAAGCTCTGAGCATTTGGTTAAATTAAGAGCTCCGCATCCCTTGGGATCTTCACCTTTGCCACCTGGGGACCAGGCTAGGGAAGCTTTCTCTTGGCATGAAAAAAAAAAAAGGGAAAATCAAGCTAGAAGTGAGCTAGTGCCAGCAGTGGCAGACCTGCCGCAGCTTTGTGCAGCCAAGATTGTAGGAAAAGGCACCTACAGTCAATCAAGGAACTCGTGTGAGTCCCTCTCCACATGTCTGTAAATTCAGAGAGCAGCTGGGAGGCTGTTCCTGTCCTCATCCCCATTGCAGTGCCTCTCCTGCCCAGGCTCTGGGGGTGTTATATGCCTCCCTTGCTGAGATTGCAGAGCATCACCTCGATCGAGATTATTAATCGGGCGCAGGGAAGGGGCGATACTTGGCATGCTTGAGGGTCCCCCCGGGTGCTTGGTTCAGAGGAACGAGCCATATATTCTCCTGCAAACAAGTAATTTTCCCCTTGCAGGAGCCGTACGTCTCTGCCAGCCACATCACGTATGGACGCCGGGAAAGACGGATGGCACTCCACGCCTGCCGCGGCACCGCTGGCACGAGGGGAGCCTGCCTGGTGTCAGACATGCCCTGGCGCCAGCTCGGCTCTGCCGGACCAGGGCAGCCTTGTGCCGGCAGACAGCATTGTCCTTGTCAGGAAGCCGAGCCCTCTCTTCCTTCAAATTAACTGGGGGAGAGCTAAGCACAGCCGAGTAAAGTTCGGCCCTGGGGGATTCCAGTCTAGTGGACTATTACTGCTGTCTCACTTCATTATAATGAATAATAAAGAGATACTTACACACGGCTTCTGTAAATTATTCATTGCGTGCACTGAAAAATCAGGGCAGCAATATGTAAAACAGACAACTTGCATGTCTGCGCTCATATAAATATCCAGACTACAGCCCTGCGAGGTACTCTCGGGTCCCCTCATTAGGGGTGAAGCACAAGGACTTGGGTTTGAAGTGACAGGGATGAGACGCTCGTGCTGGCGCTGAGTACGTTCGACTGTTTCTGCCCAGCTTTGGCTGGTGCATATGGGATGAGCTTCCTGAGCAGAGCTGGGGCCGGTCCAGGACATCTGAGAACTGGGGTGGTTCATTATGCATTTACACCTCACACTTACATCTCAGAGCTGCACTGCACAAGCACCCAGGGATTCTCCAGGTGGACACTCTCACAGGAGGGAGGGAAAGGACAGCATCACCCTGCCTTGTCTGTGGTGCTGGTGACTGGTACTGCCCTCAAAATCACTTGGAACGAGCAGACAGCAGCAACTTGGAGACCTCTGTAACAAACCCATGCCAAGAGCAAGAAGGCAAAGGCTCCTCCTTCCCATCCCTCCAGCCCACTCTTCAGTCACTGCCACTCAATAGCAAATTTAGGACCAAGTCCCTTTGGCTTTGGGCAGCATCATGTTCCTCTCCACCAGAGCCCAGACTGTCTCCTGCAGCTACAGATGACCAGACCAAAAACCAGCCCTCCTGTGCCTCCTGGGAATGTGTCAGAACCACCACCAGCAGAAAATCCCCATCCATCAGCCAGCACAGAGCACATGGCATTCCTGGAGGCACCTTCTCAGCTAGCCTCACTTTCCCACCACCAGTTTTCCCATGCCCTGGCAATTGGCACTACAAAGAGAATACTGATGGATACCCTGGCACAAGGATCACCTCATCAGCTTCTTTACCTGTCTGGGAAAGTGATCTCCATTAGCTGCTAAGCTGATGGCACTCGCTTGTCTGCTGAGCCGTCTTTGCTCCTCATTTCCAATTGACCAGGATTATGATAATGTCTCCAGTAAGCAAACAGGTAAAGAGACTTCTGCAAAGTGTTTAGATAAAGCAGACAAGCTCTGACAAAGCTGGATAATAAAGCAGGCCAGGAGGTTTTCCTTTGAAGGGATCTAATTAAAACCAAAGACAAACCCCCATTAACAATTTCCTGAAGGCACCGTATCCATCTCCAGAAACTGCCTTACGAGTCCAGAAGGGACAAAAGACAATAAAGCGCCTGTCACATGGGAGGGAAATAAACTTATCCTGGCTCTGCAGTTCACCTGGAGAAAACCCATCAGCAAGGCAGGAGGAATATCTTGGGAATGATATCGTCAGCCCACAGCATATACTGGGATAAATCCAGCATATTCCTATCCCAGCTCTCCCACGCAATCCCTTCTCTGCACAATGTGACCAGTGCCATGAGCTCCTTCATCTCTGCATCCCATTTACACCCTCATTGCCTCTGAGCAGAGACTTTTCACCATCTGTAACCCTTCAGTGCCTCCAACCACTGCTGCTCTCCTCCAGAGTGCTGGGGAGCTTTGGATGCCAGGCTTTGCTGGAGCTCTGGCCCCCACAGTGTTCACAATGATACATTGGCTCTCGAAGGCTCCAGCTCCTGAGACCAATATTGATCCCCTCACTCTGCAGGAGGACGAGAGCTGCTGTAGGGATCCCAGTGTTCCACCAGAGACGAGGGTGGTGAACCTGAACGCAGCAGCATGAGAAGATGCATGAGGGTGGGAGCTGGGGGCACCGGCGCTGCGCGGCTTCCCCTCTAATTGCCCCTATTCCTCATTCTTAAATGCTAATTTTGAAGTTTGCCGTGGGATTATTTCACTTAGTGTCAACAATACAGATAGCTCTGCTGACATGCTCTTTGTGTGTGGTGGCACACAGCGCCCGTCTCCCTCCTCCTGCACCTATTAGGAGAGACCCCACATAGCTCCCCACAGCAGGCTCCTTCCCAGCCCCATCAATGAACACTGACAGTGCCTCTCCTACGTGTGGGCTGAGCCACAGCACCCTCCACCTTCATTCCCTGCCTTCTCTGGTCACATCACCGACCTTTTCTGCACTGCTGACTTGGCTAAACATGAGGGAGAAACCTGGGGTTGCCCTCAATGCCTCTCCCCCAGGATGAGGGAAATACTGTGTCCAGGATCTGCATAAGTTTTCTGGCAGTAATTTGGAGAGATAAACAGGACACAAAGAGTTGGAACCATACAGGAAGTCTTGCAAAACCCTCCTCCATGAGTGCAAATATTCTGAGGAATGGGATACATGGGATGCCAAAATGTTGATGCACATCCTAAGAAACCCAGGGGACATGTTTGTACCTGAAGAGCCAACACCACCAATCCCTGTCCATGCCAAGAAGCTGGGAGGATGGATCAACCCAAATTTGGTGTCCATGTTTGGACACATAGTAGTATTTTTGGTATTGTCAAGTGCAGAGCCAGGGCATAGACTTAATGATCCATGTGTGTCCCTTCCTGCTGAGGATATTTGATGATTCTGGGATTCAAACATCTCCTGTTTCCTTGTTCAAACCAACAGTGCTCTACTTTTAAACTCCTCTATGGCCCTTCAACCCCAAACTGCTTCTCTCTCCTGTAGGTAACATGTCTCGTCAGGATGACAAATGGAGATGCCAAAACCAGTTGCAAACTTGCCGGCTGACCCAGTTTTCAGTGGCTAAAATAGCTCACCCAGATCGGGAGTGAAGCCCCTTGACAGCAACCAGGTGATGCTTCACCCTGGGAAACCTCCAACCAAAAATACCTGTCACAGGTGCAGAACAAACACCCTTGTCTTTGAGAAGAAATTGTTAATTACATTTGCCAGGGACTCCTAATGGGATTTCTCCTGCACTTCCAATATTCGCCCTGGCTACACAGTTAAGGGGCACCGGATGTTTTTTATTCTGGGAGGCTGGAGCAAAGGCAGAGGAGATTTATTTGTAATCATCGGAAATAAACACATTTCCTCAGAAGTAAACACAAAAGAACAGAACCTGGCTGGGCTCCCAATTCGTTCAAGATGCAAATGAGAAGCAGGCCATCAAAACATTGCAGCTCCTCTAATCCTCTCCCAACAATGCAACCCGTCACATTATCTGCAGGGACAATGGCATCTGCGCCACATGACGGCAGGTCTCACACGGCAGCTCCCGAGGGCAGGGCTTCACCACCTGAGCTTCCGTCACTGCCATCCATGCTGTTTATTTGTGGGGAGGGGAGGGCACAAGGCACTTTTTCTTTCATCATGCTCTTGTTCACTTTGCCTCCTCCCCAGGGCACCTGTAGTGTCCCTTCTCCCCTCTCTCCCATCCTTCCCAGTGGCTGGATGTGGAGTGCACAGCTCCATGCCAACCCCATGCCATCCCAGCACCCCGAGA